GCATAAGTAGTCGGAGCCTTTGGCGAAATTTATTTCATAAGCGTCTACTGCCAGTTCAGCCACAGCAGAAAGACCTATCTTGACAAACTAGCTGAGACTCTGAAGCAATTGAAAGGCAAAAGAGTCTTAGTTGGAATGGATGCAAATGCCAAGTTAAAGATCTGGTCTAACACACAGGACAAGAATGGAATAGTCATTGAAGAATTCATAGACCAATACGGGTTCATAGTGGCCAACAGGAGGGGCCAACTTCCAACGTGCCGTAGCACGAGGGGTGAGACGGATATCGATGTAACCTTACATACGTCAAATCTGTCAAACCTCTTGGCTAGCTAGGCGGTGAAAGAATGGATCACCAGTGACCACAGGCCCATAGTGATCGAACAGGATTTTGCCTCACAACCAGCCAGACTCATACGAATCGAAGAAACATTAGAACCAAGGTTCAATATGAGAAAAGCTGATTGGGAGAAATTCGGGAGACTTTGTAAATTCGAGAAAGAGGACTTATCCAACCTCCCTTTAGAAACCTTTGAAGACATTGAAACATATGTTTCTAGATTTGAAGAGGTTCTAATAAGGGCAGCAAAGGACTCTATTCCATCAAAAATGAGAAGAACGCGCTCTCAACCCTGGTGGAATCCTGACTTGCGAATTAAGAAGCGAGCGATACAAGGACAACGCAAAATCGTCGCTCTGAAAGACAAGGAAGGACCGAATAGAAAACAAAGGAAAGCCCTCCAGAGATTACTTGGAAAATTGAGACAAATGAATTACGATTATGCAAGGGCTATTAAAAGAGCCAAAAACAACAGCTGGCAAGATTCTGTACCATTGAAAGCGAAAAGAATGCTTGGGCGTATCCCTACAAACGAGCATCCAAAAAAGTCAGAATCTCAAAAGCGATGTGCACGGTTAACCGTAATGGTTCAGTCACAAAAGACTGGAAGGAAACAAGCATGGCTCTACTAGAAGGACTAATGCCTGATGACGACCCAAGCTGCAAAAACGATGTACCTCCAAAGATTCGCAGAGATATGCGGGAGATTCCAGAAACCGGCGACGCAACGCCTTTCCTAACAAGGGAAGTTGAAATGGCCCTAAAGGCGAACAAGGCAGGGAAATCACCAGGCAAAGATAAAATAGAGTCAATAATGCTTGTAAATGCAAAACCATTACACCAAGAACTGTCGCGACTTTTCAACGCCTGCTTAAAATGCGGAGTGTTCCCCAGAAGATGGAAAAGTGGAATGCTAATCACGTTGCTCAAAGGGGTTGAAAAACCCGAGAACGAGATTAAATCATATAGACCCGTATGTCTACTCCCCATAGCTGGGAAGACACTCGAGAGGCTTGTGATTCAAAGAATATCCAACATTCTAAACAGCTCGAACTGGTCTTCGGAGGATTAATTTGGCTTTAAGGCAAATAGATCCACAGAGGATGCCATCAGAAGACTATATGAAATAGTAGAAGAGGCAGAATCTGATCCGTCGACAAAGTAGGTAGCCGCTATTCCACTGGACGTCTCAGGAGCATTCGATGCCTTATGGTGGCCAAGCCTGCTCTCCTAATTGAAAGAAAGAAACTGCCCGAGGAACATCTACAAGCTCCTCCAGAGTTACTTCAGTGATCGAGAAATGGGCATATATGCTCACTTCGAAGAAACACTGAAAACAGTGATGAAGGGGTGCCCTCAGGGTTCAGTATTTGGATCGGTAGGTTGGAACGTCATCTTTGACAACCCACTCCGGGCAATTCGGGACGCAGGATACGAAGTACTAGCCTACGCAGACGATGTGCTTCCTATGATTAAGGCAAAGACACGCATTGATTTTGAAAGACAAGCCCAAGAAATCATTAATATAATGACGGACTGATGCAAGTCTGACAAAATGAAATTAGCAGTACAAAAGTCAGCACTAACATGGCTAAAAGGCCAACTAAGCGAGAATAGGAACCCTACAGTCAAAATTGGGAAAGACAACATTAAAACGCACAAAACAGTCAAGTACCTAGGAATCACGATCTCGAAGGGCTTCCAATTGGAAGAACATATTCGAAACGTAGTTCAAGACTGTAATAACACCTATTTCAAGCTAAGTAAAATAGCAAAAGCGAACTGGAGCCTAAAATTCAACTCCATGAAAAAGATATATAATGGCTTCCTACTATCGAAAATTACATATGCCGCTGCGGGCTGGTGACAAAGGACCAACATCAAACAGCAATCTCCGTTAGAAAGATTGCAGCGATCAGTTCTTTGCAAGACACTCAAAGCCTACAAATCGATCTCTCATGAAGCGGCGCACGTGCTTGCAGCCTCCCGACCAATAGCCCTCGAGCTTGACGCAAGAGTTGCAAGGTACTGCGTCAGAAAAGGGAAATCGATTAAAAGGCACGGCATCCGAATAAAATCAGAAGATCTTCGATCGGGCAAACTAAAATTCTCAAAAGCCATACAACTCATCAATGATGAAATCGAAAGGGTATGGCAGGAGAGATGGCAATCAGCCAAAAAAGGCAGAAGAACTTACTGCTACTTCCCAGTAATCAAGGATAGATTAAAGAAGAGGTGGCTAAATCCCAATCACTACACAGTACGGTTCATGACTGGACATGGTGCTTTTAAGTCATACCTCCATAAAAGAGGATTATACGAAGACCAACTGTGTAGTTGTGGAGAAATAGAAAGCGAAAGTCATATTCTCTTTAACTGTGAAGATGTAAGGGAACTAAGGAAGCCATTAATAGAGACCGTTGAAGAGGAGGGTCACACATGGCTTTGCCCGGAAACAGCTCTAGTATCTAGTAGGAAAATCTACAAAGTCTTTGAAGACTTTGCTAGAAAAGTCATAGAGCCCAGGGAGGGAGCACCTATAACAAAGAGAAAGCGCAGAAAAATAGTCACGAACTATGGTAGAAAGACACCGCCTCTTACAAGATCCCTAACCAAAGGACCAAAAGTAACACGATAATCTAATTTTTGAACCAAGACAAGCCCATAAAGCTTGAAATTCGAACGATAATTTTTGAATATCAACTTCAGAACTAAACTCTGAAGCTCGATAATTTGAATGCGAATTACCCCATTTAACCCAACGTCGGAGTTTTAAACCGAATGCGTGGCATGACCGGCAAGAATACTGAAAACTGCCTGGGAAGTCGCCTTGTCGGCTAGACGAGACCCCGCCCTGACATAACAGTCAAAAACTAAATCGAAAGAGCAAATATCAGTATCAGCCAAGTCATAAAAACCATTCTTTAGAAAGCGAGATCTGATTTTGGGGCAAAAACGGGGTAACAACGACCTTTTCGAATGACGGATACCTACCAGCGTGAGCGGAGATGACCGAAACGCAATGGGAAGACGTGCCTCGGTACGTCAAAGCGATGGACCTGTGAGTCGTGGGAGAAATCCTTTAATACAGGTACGCAGGGTGGGATGTTTTTCGAACGCCAGCCCAGGAGGGGAGGCTTAGTTGGTTGATCGTCTTAGGAATTTCCTCTGTCTGTCCTGGCTGAGTCTCTCTTCTGACATCCCAATTTGGGTTGGCCTCTGCGGGGTAGTAGTACCAGGTCAAGCAAATCTCGTAAGATTTGTATGCTGCGTGCTTCCGACGTAGTAGACGTTGGGGTAACTAGAGTCCCTTCGCGCCCAAACCGAGGGTCAAGCCTTTAGTTCCGCTCTCCTTGAGCGTCGAACCGTGAAAAGATCGGTACTCCTTTCGAGGAGGTCGCCGCCTTAGATCAAAAAGGTTCCGACGAAAAGGTTCCGTGAAAAGTCTCCATCAGCTCCTCGAATGCTTTCTCGGCGAGGCTTTTGTTATTATGGCTGTTCTCGTTGTTCCGGTTGGCGTTGTTAATGGTGTGCTTGTTGTTGTCCCCGTCCTCGTTGTTAGTGGTGTTATTGTTATACTCCCGTTATCGTTACTGCGCTCACTATCGTTGTTATTGTTGTTATTGCTACTGTTGTTGTTAACGTGTTGACGTGTTGGCGAGTTGGTGAGCCCCCTTGGACGTGACTGTGTACGTGTGTATGTGTACGTGTATCCGTGTGCGCCAGTGTTTCGCCTCACGCTCCAGACCGGCAACGGAATTCCTGCTCACCACTTCCAAGATGGCCACACACGCGCACACTCCCGCGTCACCTCGCCGGTCGCCACGTGCACCGGTGCTGGTTCAGCTGCCTCCGCAGGTTATCTTCAAATACACAATTTCCGCGCACCAATCACGTGTTTCCAAAACCACAAATCGTCGGCGAGGGCGCGAGAACTCACAGGTCACGAGCAAAAACCCAGCAGAAAATCGTGTGCGCGCGGTGGACCGTGCGACAGCTCAACAGGTACTGCCTGTTCCTTCGTCAAACCAGCGAGATGCGCGCGCAGGTCGGCCGACGCCTCGCCGGCTTGCGCTTATCTTCTGTCTCTCTCTCACTCTCTCTCTCTCTTTAGCTGTGCTCTCTACGTCGGCTCTCCCTCTCTTCAATTCGCTGCCGTCGCCGTCGCACCTCAAGAATAGAACAAAAAAGAAAGAAACGGAGCGATTAGAGTGTGCTCAACTAGTGCACACTCCCAGCTCGTCAAAGCGCACGGGGAAACAGTGAGAGCCCGATGGAGAGCAGCGGTCGAGCCGTGATTCTCCGTCACAATAAGTACAGGCTCAGCGAGCCTCTAACAGCGTCCCGCGTCTTAGATCTCTCTCTCTCTCTCTCTCTCTCTCTCTCTCTCTCTCTCTCTCTATTTATTATCGATTATTATAAAAGTAGTACTTAAATGGTTTTTCCCTACTTATGACTGGAATTTTTATGCCGGATAAGTGCTACTTATTTACCTTTTTTCATTTAATTAAAGCCACAGTTATGTTATAATCGGAAGCAATCATTTATTTATTGCACACACCTTTCCCCGTTCCTTTTCTTTACACACCTTATGTATTTTTTATAATATTGAGTAATAGCCGAACAATATAAGAAAAAATATTTCATGATTTTATCTTACCCGACATGCTCCACCTCCATGTTTTTCTTTCCACCACTTTGTTTTCAAAACATGGAGTTTACCTTCTTCTTGTAGTTTCAAAATAGCTCCACTGATAGCTGTTCTATACGGGGAATCTGTAATATGCATATTTTAAATTAGATTTAGTGATCAGAGCTAATAAATGTGTAAAATCCATTTATATAAAAAAAGCTTAATTAAGTAAATTATAATTAAGTAAACAAGAACTATGAATGAGAGTAGGAATGCAAGTAGTTAAGCGATGTATATTTTAGCGGATGACGTTAGGATACTGATGGAAGCTAGTAGTGACGTCAGAATTTGGGGAAATCTGGCGGCGACGTCAGGATATGGAGACGAGAGCAGACGATCAAATGATAACGAGTATAATACAATAATAATATACAATTTTAATATACAATAGAAAAATGCCTTGTATAAATTCCTTGTTCGAACTTGACGTATTTGAATACTGAAATAATATTTTATGTAACTGTATATATGGATTTTATTTAATTACATCAATCAAGTTGTTATAAACATTGCATGTTGACCCATAACCATCATTATTATTTATTAAATATGTGAATAATTTAAATTCATGTTGTTTTTATTTACTGTAATATGTAGATTCCTATTATGTCTTCAATGTAATCAAAAACAGATTCGTAATGCAAGAAATACAAAATGAAAAGATCTAAATTATGTATGTAATTATGCAAAAAATTATGGTTTACACAGTTTTATCTCCAATTTTAATCTTATTTTTTAAAAAGTCTGATGTCGAGAAAGCAATCTCTTTAATTTTTTGATAGTAAACAATTGTCGTCGTCATGTATTATTTTCGTCATTCTGAAAAAATGTATTGGAATAAATTAATAGAATAAATTTTGTAACAGGCCGCCATTTAGTCTGAAATCACGCAAACGTACCTTTAAATGCGACCAAACGACGCCTTGTTATCTATGTGCTTAAAGCACAGTAACCTACCTTGCCCCGAAGTGCGCCTGCGCAGAATCTTCTACTTCTCCGAGTTGGGTTCCCCCAACTCGCCGCTTGGCGGCGCTGTCGCTCTTACTAGTAGCGCTCGTGCGGCCGCCACTGGAACCTAGGTTAGTGACTCGCGTCTAGTGATACTCGCACGATTCGTGCTTCGCGACCGGCGAATTCGAATCTCCTGAAAATAAACACTGGCGCGACCTCCGGACAAAGGAATGACAAAATAACGACTATTTAACTCGGAAATAATGATTACGATGCTCTTTATTTAGCTAATTATATTACACGGGGAAATGGCCGAGAGACTTACGCACGCACGCGTGAATGACAACACACGCTATTTGAGAGAGAGAGAAAAAACCGCGATTGCCGCGAACTACCTGCTCGCACGCGATAAACAAACTCTTCGCGCTCGCTGCGCGGATTCGCACGCAAAATTAACATAACGATTAACAACAAAGGAAGGAGGTGCACCTACCGCAGTGACGACGTGGATACGGTGGCCAACCGTATCCGAATAACTCGCTGTTACTAAGCTGCTCCGTTGTGCTGCCTCTAATGCTGTTGCCGCTGCTGTTGTTGCCGCTACTGATGCTGCTGTTATTGCTGTTGCTGCTGTTGCTGCTGCAGTTGTCGCGGCTGCTATTGCTGCTGCTGCTGCTGATGCTGCTGTCGCAAGCACTCACCCGCGCAAGTCACAGTGTCAGTTAGCACGAACAAGAAAACTCGGGAAGGACGGAGGTTAGATCGGCCGGCGAACAGACTGAGTGGCACAGTCATACTAGCGCTTGGAGCCTCCCCTCCCGGTCATTGCCCCTTACGCGCTCTCTCTCTCTCTCGCGAACCGAACGCGGCTCACCTCACTTAGCCGCTCATTACCTCGCGCGAGTCCTACGATTTTCGGCAATCGTTGCAGCCCCCTCCTAGCTTCGAACTACCGGATCGAACTACCCTATTGACTCGCGACCCCAAGGACAGGATTGGGAAAGGAGAGAAATCAGCACAATCCATCCTCTATAAAACTCGGCTTTATTTGCCCATCCCGGGCCACCACCCCCCCACGTCACCTGCCGGAGCCCCCTGGCGCTTTGTGCCTTGGGTAGCACCAGTGCTCCGACTTGTTGGGGCACTTAGAAGTGGTCGTGATCCCGGGATGGCCGCAGATGTAGCAGCCTCTTCCCGGTCGTCTGATGAGGCCGGGCTCCGCCCCATGGCCCTGGCCTCCAGCTGGTGGTTGGGGCGGCGTGGCTGCTGCCGCCGGGGCGGCGATAAATGTTACGCCGCCCACCGTGGCGGATGTGCGTCCCCCCTCGGTTCGCACCACCACGGTAGGGTCGGAAACCGACCCGTCCACGCGGACCACGAATTCCTGTCCGGCTCCGGGGGCCCCCGAGACTCTCTTGTGTTGAGTCTTGGTCGGGGGCTTGGCCGGAGTCCTGGCCGCTTCTCTACCCGTCGGGGCCGCTGGCGGTAACACCGCTGGCGGGCCCGCGGCCTCTGGGGACTCCAGCCCCCGGTCAACGCGCATGAGGGCCTCTCCGTAGGTCCTTTGCCGCCGGACTACCGGAGCCCACTCCCCCAGCATTTCCTGGGCGCCGCGGAAGTCGAGGAACTCCCCCAGGTGTGCGTGCACCTGGCGCTGGAGTTCCCCGACGAATTTCCAGGCGTTCTCGAGCTCCTGGAGGCCCAACCTCACGTGCCTCCAGGAGTTTTCGAGGCCTACCTGCTGGGGGACTCGTGGGTGGGTGCAGACCCAGTGCTGTTGGCCGCAGGCCTCCCTTGGCCCGGGGCACTGGGTCGAGCTCTCCACCGTGGACGATCTCGACCCTTGGGTCTGCATGCCCTGGTCCCGCGTGGACTGGGACCGTCGACCCTCTTCGGATGGGCCGTCGGTCTGGGTGGATACTTCCCGGATCGAGGGCTTGGATGTTTGAGCCCTCATACCTTCCCGGAGGAAGTCATCCACCCGCTGGCGAGAGCGGCCCTCGCGAGCGGCCGTCTCGACCTGGCCCCGGACGAACCTTCGTAAATCGCCGATCAGCCGATCGGCGCCCGGACCCAATCCCAGGTCGAGCAGCAGCTGGGTGGCCGTCTCGAGGGCCTCCTCACTGATGACCAGCTTCCTCTCCATCTGTAAAAGAGAAGAAGTGGGGTCAAGGGATTTCTCAGGCTCAGCCCTTAACCTACCCGTCGCCGTGTAACGCTCGATGCTATTGTTTACGAGGACGTCCCGGTCCCCGGCGCTTTCCTCGCGAACATGGCCCATTTGCGGGGGCAGCTGGCAGCACCACCTTCCGCACGTGCTGAGCGGTCCTACGTGGTCTGCCCCTTCCCCTTACCGCATTGCCATCCAGGTCGTCTCCACCTGGTTCCCGAGGTTCGCACGCGGGGTTCTTGCGCGGCCTACCTCGACCTCGCTTAACCGGCGCCTCGATCGGTACCTCTGGAGCCGCCGCGGGTTTCTCACGCTCGTTCGAGGGGGCTGCATTCGCGACGCGCTCGCATATCGGATCCTCGCTGGATTCCTCGATCTTCGCTGGCGGGTCGCCTACGCCCTCCTCTTCGTCCAACGGTGCTGAGTCCCCGCCTCCTGGTTCCTCGTCGTCCTCATCAGAGTATGGGCCGAAATAGGGCTTGAGGTCCTTGGCGTGGATCAGCTCGGGCAACTCTTCCTGCTGGTTACCTAGGCGGTAGGTATTCGTCCCGCATACCTCCAGAATCACGTAGGGACCAGCATACTTCGGTGCCAACTTCGCCGAAACGCCCTGAGCTGCGGAAGACAAGATGCGGTTCCGCTTCCACACCCAGTCCCCAACCCTAAAGTCGGCCTGACGTCTCCTCCGGTTGTAGTAGACCGCCTGACGAGCCGCCTCCTCCCTGGACTTAGAGCCTGCGCGTTCCCACAAGTTTGGTAACTGGCGCATGTGCTCGCCCCATTCGGTCAGTTCTTGGCCCTCGGAAGCTTCCCGCGCCAACTGATCCTGGGCCCTCCTAAAGGTCGAGGGGGGAGTGGGCTGTCTACCGAAGACCAGCATGGCCGGGCTGTACCCTGTCGCGCTGTGAGTTGCCGAGTTCAACGCAAAGTTGAACTCAGGCAGGTGCTCGTCCCAGCTCTTATGGTCCCGCTCCACATACGATATGAGCATGGCCTTGAGGGTTCGGTTCACTCGCTCCGTGGGGTTTGCCTGCGGGTAAGGGCGCGCTGGATGCCGTTCCTCGACAGGTAGGCATCGACCTCTTGATTTTTAAATTCGGTCCCGTTGTCCGAAAGAAAAATCTCTGGCGCCCCAAACCTGGTGACCACCCTCTCGTGCAATTCCCGTACGATGGTCCTCCCGTTGGCCTTACGTACGGGCACGCACTCCATCCACCGAGTGAACAGGTCTAAAAAGACCAAAATATACTCGAACCCTCTCTAGCTCTTTGGGAAGGGGCCAGTGATGTCACCGGCCACCACCTGCCAGGGTCGCGAGACCTCTCGACGACCCATCAGCCAGCAAGGCGGCCTTTGCTCCGCCTTGCATTGCTGACATACCGGGCAAGTCCTCACGTACTCTCTGACCTGCTCGTACATCTTTGGCCAGAAATACAGGTGCCTAGCCCGGGAGAACGTTCGTTCTCTCCCCTGGTGTCCCGCTGCTGGCGCATCGTGTACCTCCTCGAGTACTTGATGCCTCTTCTCGGTAGGAACCACTAGCTTCCAGGCTTCCTCGTTGTCGATGGACCCTTCGCTCTCCTCAGTCGGATTGTAGTGATACAGTCTCCCTCCGACTACCTTCCAGGTAGGTTGAGAATGTGGATCCTGGCATACCTCTCTATATTTCTGAAGGTACCAGGCATCGGCAGTTTCCGGCTGATGAGTCATGGCACCCACTTCTACCACCCCCTCCTCATAGGCCCTAGATAAAGCGTCTCGCACCACGTTGAGGTCTCCCTTTCGATACTCTATATCGAAAACATGGCCTTGCAGGGCTAGCGCCCAACGCGCTAGCCTTCCTGTAGGATTCCTCATACTGTGGAGCCACTTAAGGCAACTATGATTGGTGATGACTTTGAAGTGGTGCCCCTCAACATAAGGCCGGAACTTCCCGATCGCCCATACAACTGCCAGGCATTC